GGCGGCGACCGCATACTGACGCGCCAGGCCCAAGGCAAAGGCTGCCGCTGAGGGCGAGCCCACCAGACTGCGGAAGGCGCTTCTTTCTCCGCCCATCGACAGACTGGACGTTGGGCTGCCACAGACGCCACCCGATGTGGGCGAATTTTGCTGCTGCTGCTGTTGCTGCTGCTGCTGTTGCTGGTGGTAGTGACTGAAGAGCTGCAGGGCTGCGGGATGCGTGGGCAAGTGATGGTGGTGACCGGGCGGGCCCGGCGGCAGCGCATGCAGCGGATGCATCATGACGGAGGGCGGCGTCTGCGCCGCTCCCAGCGGTGAGTCCGCGCACAGCACCGACGAATGGCCGTGCGGGGTGGTCGGCGCTGAGGCATTGCTGTGCGTGCTGGGCGTGGGGGAACTGTTGGCTGGCCCGTCGTTCGACTGCTGCGAGTGTATGGGATTGGCGGGACTGGAGCGCTGCCGCTTGAGCAGATTCATGCGCTGATGGCGACGCCATTTGGCGCGTCGATTCGAGAACCAAACCTGAAGAGCAGGATCCAAAAAGAGAGACGCGTCCAGGGTTAGGCTTTGCCCCACAGCGGCAGCTGAAAAAGTCTGCACTTACCTGCACCCGCGCCTCGCTCAGGCTGGTGCGACTGGAGAGACGCTCACGCGTGCTCACGCACGGATAGTGGCTCTTGTCGAACTCCTTCTCCAGCTCCTCCAGCTGCTCCGGACTGAAAGTGGTGCGATTGCGTCGAAACTTGGGCTCATCATCGTCGTCCAGATAGTCCGAATCGATTTGCCGATTCTCATCCGCCGACTCCAAGGTTTCGTGGCTGCCCGAGCCAGGTGAGATGGCCCGATTCATGGGCGCACCGCCGCCAGCTGGACTGCCCAACAGATTGGTGCTGCTCAAGCTCAGGCTGCCCGGCGTTGCGCTGCTCGCACTGGGCGGCAGATTGGCCAGCGTGGGCGCAGCCACTGGCCAGAGGGCGGAAGGCGGCGGCGGCACAGGCGAACCGCCGGGCACATTGCCCGGATGCCACGTAAAGCTGCCATACGGATGCGGCGGCGGCGGATACAGCCCATAGGCAGCCGTCCGCGCAAACTCGTTGGCCACACGCTCCGCGGCGCGATTGCGCAGGATGCGATTGATGCTGCTCACCGAGGGCGCAGTCGCGTTCGTGCAAACACCTGCAAGGTGAGGGGCAGATGGAATGGTTAGGTTAAAAGCTGCCGCCGCTGCTGATCAATTGGAGATTAGCCGCTTGGAGATGTGCGGCCTGGCTTGATTTGCAACTGCAATTACCCGCAACGGACTTACCTTCGGAGATTAAGCGCTCGCGTATCTCCCAGGCGAATATCGTTGGATTCTCGCGCTTGTACTGCTCAATTTTGGAGACGACCGTTGGCGTGGCCACTTTTGGCTTGGAGCCACCAATTAGACCAGGTGGCCGCAGCGACCCTGTGCAAACGAGACAAAACACAATTGTCAGAGAGAGGGAGAGCAAGAGAGAGAGAGCGAAAATAATAATGAATTATGGGCTACGGGTTATGATGGTCAGGTAATCAAGGATGCAACCCACAATCGTCAGTTGGCTTTCGGTTTTCGGTAGTTGCTGAGCTGCGTCGGCTTATCGGGCTCGTTTAATAGCTTTATCAGGCAACAACATCAACAACAACGTGTATCCCCCACAACACGCAGCTCAGGAGGAAACACCTCGGCCGGACCCTACACCGAACCCGCGTCCCTGGCGATTAGGGCAGCTTTTTTGATTAATGAGCCGCGGCAGCAGCCACCGTCGTTCGAGGCGTTTATGCAATTTTAAGTGCCCAAATTACGCCTGGCCAGAGCAGAGCAGAGCAGGCCAGAGCCAGACCACAGCCAGACAGGGGCAGGATCTGCACTCGCGTGCATCGGCCAAGGATAATAACATTATAAATAATTGTGTTTATCATTGAAATTGGCAAACAAATCGAAAACAAAGTGGTTACGCGCATAACTTAAACAATTGTGCGGCAGTTCGAGTCAAGGGAGCGGGGTAAGGGAGCGGGGTGAGGGATCGGGAGCAGGTTGCTCGTGCGGGTACTTACCTAACAGCTTGGAGACAGCGCCCTGCTGGGTGAGCATGTGCTGGGCTATATCGTAGCCGCGCAGGCCGCCAAAGCGGGAGAACTCCAATAGGCGATGCTGCGACATCAAAGCGCCGAGCGTGCTGCCAGTTGCCGCTGCTGCTGCTGCTGCGGCGGCAGCAGCTGTTGCCGCCGTTGGCCCAGCACCGTTGCCAGCACCGAAACCTGGCGGTATTTGCACAGTTGTTGGTGCGGTTGTTGTCGTTGCCGCTGTTGGTGATGCCGACGCCACTGCAATTGAACGAATTGAATGATAATTGGCCATTGTTAACATTATTCCTTCTAGCTGTTGTTGTTGCTGCTGCCGTTTGTTGTTGTTGTTGTGGTTTGCTGTTGTTGCCGATTGACACAATGGTTAATTATGATAAATTAACGGTTAATTGTGTTGACGTTGACTAAACTGAGCTAAAGCCGCCGAGTGACTGATGACAGCAGCAGCAGCAACAGCAACAGCAGCAACTTCGGCAATGGCGTTGCTCAATTGTCACTGGCTAAAACAAATACTTGTTTCTCTTTTTTTTTACTGGTCTAATGTTTGAATGAAACGCAACTTTAGCGCTCAACAGATTTAACATTTTCGGGCATAATTTAGCGCTTATAGAAAGCAAATTAAAATTAAAATATTTAATCAGCTGCGACAGAACCTGTGCAGCGTGTGTTGGATTTAAGGTACACAAAACACATTATCGTCTTGGTGCCCAAATATTAATTGTTTTTATTTTATTTTATAGCACGTTTATACTTAATGCGTAGAGCCCACAACTTTACGAATTTCTGGTAATTCCCTGCCATTGTCAATTAGCCGTAAACGCAAAAAACAATTTGTTCCGTTTGAGAAGCGTTTGTTATTCATCTGGCCAAAAACCTTTTACAGCATAAATTGTGCAGATCTTTTGTATTAACCAGTTCAAAATATCGTAACACGTGCAAATTGAAAATATATGCATATGGAATTTATAAAGAGAAATTTGAATGGGTTTATGTTGCAATTAAATCTGGAAATTTAGAGCTGATTGAAATTTGATCTAAGCTAAATTTTGAGTTTTTTGAAAATCATTCTATGTCCAAGATTTGAACTAAGCTGAGATATTTTATATATATTAAGCTCAGACAAGAATTGAGGACTTTTTATTAGCTATGCTTCTCAGTCTAATGATTAATGTCCTTTAGCAATGATTGTTTGCTTTTGCTGTCATTTTTTAAATTGCCGTCGGCAATTGCTCGCATTGCTATGGGAAATCTTACCACTGGACGCGTGCGTTGCCAGCGAGGGAAATCGTTGGGGATGTGGCTCCATTTTCCAGTGTGCGGTCGCAATGCCAGAACCTGCAGCAGTTAGCGAGCCAAAATCACGGTTCAAGCTCGGCTCAATCAACATGTCAGCAGCGTTTGGTCGCCTGGCTACGAATCGAGCTTTGATGTGCTTGGATCAGTTCGAGAGTTTTCACTACACAGCACTAAGTAGCACAGTCACAGTCACAGTCACGGGCACTGTCACAGTCACAGTAACGGTCACGGGCACAGCCACTGGCACAGTCGCGGCGCAATTATTGATTGTGGAGCAGACGCGTACATGCAAATCTGTGGGCATGGCAGACAGACTCGGTGGCAAACGGAAACGCAATGCGGCCAATTAAATTCATAACGTGCTCCTCACTGCACCCGCGCACATTGCCCAAACCGAATGATGGCTACAGAAAATCGCTTTGCTTGTTGTTAAATCGACGTTGTTCCGTTTGAACGTTGTTCACGTGAAAGCCGCTCTCAGCACACTGAGTGGCAGCCGCAAGTGGCTTGAATTTCACCTGGAACTGGCTGCCGTTGCTGCCGCTGCTGCCGCTAGCGACTGCTCCACTCAGTTCGCGTTTCACTCAACGTTTGAGTGCTTTTCGCCGCGCCAACCGGTTTTTCAACTTCGGCGCACATTCATAATGGCGGCCGTTGTCAGATGAGCCGCACTCGTGCGAGCGGGACGGCAGCATGTCGTGCACACTGGCGCACACAGTCCATGCAATTACATGCCTCTCCCCCTCACTCTCTCCAACAACGGGACGTTACATCGAGCGCGCCAAGTAGGCAGTGGCCAACGCGCTCATGACTGCGTCCAAGCGTATAAACAACCAGCCTCAGGAACAGGAAGAGACCTCTGCCTCTGCCAAAGTGCAAGGGGAAGTGCAATTTATTTATGATAAGGCATTGCTTATGTTCAAACTGCACTAAAATAGTGCATATTAGAACTGGCGAATATTAGAATTCAAGGGAAATACATACTTGAAGGCCTAAACGAGACTTTACTTTTATGTTAGACAGAAATGTATGTAAAAATATAAGATGATAAAAATATTAGAATGTCAACTGATAAAATCGGTTGAGCTTGGACTGAATGACTTAATTAACTATCCTTCAGATTGACATCCAAATATAGCTAGGATTTTTCAGAAATTTCACCACAGATTCCTACTAAATTTACTGAAATTCTTTAAATTATATTAGATTATCAAAATAGAAAATATATAATCAACAAAAGCTATATAACTATATTTCTGTTTAATTATCGCCCTTACGAACGGGATTCAAGGAAGGAAATCGGACAACTTGTTCATACTCAATTTGGAAAATATTATTTCATTTTTAAAAACAAGTAAATATACAATAAACTGCATCTAACGCGAATCTAGAAAAAGCAAAAGTTTTTGCCTTCATATATTTAGCACATACTTTTCTGTTTATCGTCCTTAAGAATATCTTTCACAAATAGCATTCAAAAAAACGTTGGATATTTCAAATATCTGACCCGGGTTCGTAGTAAATTTAAAAAATAATATAAAAATTCTTCAATTCATATTGATTACGTGTATAAAATACGCCTACATAGAGTCAGCACCTACTTTTCAGTTTGATTTTTTTATTTGTTTATTATGTAGATTGGTCCGTTGAAAAATATGTGGTTCCTGCTAGCTGTGCAATGCTACATCTGAAGAAATTTGCTTGATCACAAGCAAATTTGATGTGTTGCTATTACACAGAACTTCCGGCAAACGAAACCCGCATTCCAAATCAAGCAGTCACAACGACTCGAGAGGGGAAACCCACATCCCCCTAATATAGGACTACTAACCACAAGCAGGTCGGGATCAACCCTATAAATCTGAAAAATAAATGTAAGTATATTATTTAAGAAAAGTATCTAAAACTTACCCTTCCTGTATTTGTGTTAAAGTTCAATGCAAGAGGAATATACTTTAAATTTTGCTTGGTATATGTGATGTCTCGTGATTGATAAATCATAAGCTGCTTTGATGTATTGCCTTGCCACACACACACACACACATACACCTGGACACAGATTGCAAGGTGCTCAGATTTGTCTCTTCTGTGGCGTTTGTAGCTTTTGGTGTGCGTGTTGGATGATTGATGCGCTGCTTGGGCAAGGCGACTCAAAGCTGAGTCGAGAGTGCAACTAAGCTACACATGGCGTGATGGGCGAGCCACACAGAATGCCTGCCGGTGGGGGCAATGGCAACCGTGGTGCCTGCACAGAAGCCAAATTGCATCGATGCCTGTGAATTGAGTAGCTGCCGGCGCAATTCGAATGGTTCGAGCTGAAAAGCAATTACCAGTTGCCTGCCTGGCCTGGACAGAAGAACATAAATCTGCACAGTCAAGAGATCGGGTAGGAAGTGTGGATAAGCAAAAAAAAAAAAGAATGCTCCAAATGGCCAACAAGTTCTCTCACTAACGGTTTACAAATAATTAAGCCGCACATTTTTGTAGTAAATGTGCATAAAATGTCACATACATATGCATATCTACATACATACATACATACATCAAATTGTGAAAGGCAAATCATGAATGAACCAGCGACGACGACGACGACGACGATGAAAGCTGACGATGACGCTCGAGTGCTTTTATGCCAGAGATCCAGAGCAAACGCAAACAATTGAACAGGAATAATTTACTATGTAAATAAGACGTGAGCTGTGGAGCCGGTGCCCCTGCCGGAGTTGGAGTCGGAGACGGAGCTGGGGCTGAGGCTGAATCCGAGGCTCGAGAGTAGCGTGCGCCCTCGCGCCATCAAGTGGCACTTCAACAATCAAGCATTCACACAAGCAGATGGTTCGCAGCCGCAGCCAGCGACCACCTAAACGAAATTTCATTTAGTTTTGGCCTGTCATCACGGCACAATCGCAATCCCGCAGACGTCGTTGCCACTGCCTGACTCGTCTGAATGTAGATATCTATATAGATAGCTATACATTATGGAGATGTATGTGTGCATATGCACAACGAACACTCGCTTTATTGAGTGTTTGTTTACCTAATTCGATTACCGATCGCGTCCGTTCGCCATAATCCCCACAAAACACTTGACCATTTGGGTGGCACATATATGAAGAACACACTCGCACACAGGGAGAGAAATATGCATATCTTTGTGCTCCTCGAGCAAGCAATCATTGCGGAGTAATAAGGTTGCTGACTTAATTCGAGCGCTTGAATGTGTAGAAGGGTGTGCTCGGATCGGGGATACTTCTCTTCGCTTGTATCTTAATGCAATTAAATGAATAAATTGAAGCAGCTGTGCAGATTGTTAGTTTGAAGCGCTTAAAAATACACTTTTGAACTTTAAAACCAATTACATATCATTTAAGAAGCTGTTCGCTTTGATTAAAAATTCTTCAAGCTTAACTTTGACTTTCCTTCATTTTAAGCAGCTCTGAAACCTTGCAGAAGATTATAAGGGCAGTTAATAATGGAAAATAATACATAGAAAATATATATTGATCGATTAGACTGTTGCTGGAAGACGAAAAATAACACCCTACGAGGTCCCTTTCTGACTACTCTCTACTTTTTACACTCTTTCAATACTTTTAAAATGTGTACTCATAATTTCTCTCTTCCCTTTTTTTATAATAAGCACCTGTTACAAGCACCTGTTTGAATAAGGCTTTGAGTATATTCATTTTGAAATAAGTTTTTGCGCCCTAACACATTTGAGTTTTCATTTCTCTCTCATCTCTAAAACTCAACGAAACAATCGTTCACAAAACATCGATAAGGCCGCCTAGCATCAAACTTGTCGAAACAACCTAAAATTATCGATAGTTATATATCATCAACAGTAAAGTCAGCCCAGAACTGCTGCAATTTTGTATTGTTAGAAAAACTAAAAATAATATAATGCGCACCGTGCTTTTGAGCAAATCCGATGAGCTCTATCTGGAAAAGTGCGCCCAAGAGCACAGTTTCTCGTACGGCATTATCGTTGGTCACGTAAGTACAAGTATGCTCCTGCTCCGGCCAACGCCACGTAGGTTTATTTTGTTGACTGAATACTCTTCTTTTTTTTTTTATTCAACCACACCTTGAATTCCAGCAAGCAGATTTAACCAAAAGTATTGTGGTTCATCTGGCACGCAACAGCGAGGAGGATGCGGACTTGGAAGACTTGAGCGATGTCCGGTTAAGCATACGTGACATCAACTCGCAGGCGTTGGCCTCCCAATGGCTGAGCGCCAGCAAAATGTGTCCCGGCTCCTTTGATGTCATAGGTGGGCACTGAGATAGGCAGGCAATCAGACTCCAATTCACATGGGCTTACTCTATTTTAGGTATATTCATTGCCTCTGTTCGCCCTGACATGGCCAACGAGCAGAGCGAGGGATTTAGGAACGCCAAGAAACTCTTCTCCGATGTCTACGAGTGAGTGCCCGAGATAAGAAGGGAAGTCAAAACAATTATAATGTCTCATTTTTGTTGCAGCGTGTTGGTCAAGAGCAATAGCTCCTTCGGAGTATACACCACAGACATGGCACAGACAGACTATGTATTCCTCTCCTACTCCCTGGCCGACAAAACTTTGCTCTGCAAAAACTATACGCATGGAAAGTAAGTGAGATCCTTTGTAGAACTAACTAACAATTGTTGAGTATTTGGGTCGGGATATAGCCGAATTTACACTGTTGACTTATGTATCTTTTCTTTATCAATTATCTTGTTGGCCACATGCTTAAAATAGACATTGCAAAAAAACGTATTTTACGGCAAACATTAAATGCATCATATGGTAAATAACATGTTGAAAATCAAGTACTTACACCTTTGAATGTTTTACGACCTTAACGGCGTATATTTTCTTATATAATAGTTAATTTTCGTAGCTGTTCTTACGACTTATTTATGGATTGCATTTTACGATTTATCTCTAGATACATATGTATGTTGTATTTATCAAAAAAATTATATTTGTAGAGCTCTGCCAATCGTCTCCATGAACTACTTAAGTAATATATATTTGTTTTCTTAAACCCCGACAGCGGCGGCACATTCTCATCCATGGAATATCGCTTCGTGGAGAAGCCGTTCGAGTGGATACAATTGGAGTGCAATTACGACTTGGATGATGTCATACCCATAGTCGATACAACCAAACGCATCAACATAGAAGAACAGTTTCAAAATATTATATTCACGATCCGTAAATACCTCATTGCCAGCGAGGTATTCCTCCAGAACGAAATGGTCGAGGACACAATGGATTTGCAGAGCTACATTAAAAAGAAAAAGCTTAAGGACGAGAAGCTTAAGGAGACAACGACCAATGCCACCGCAGCTGCTGCCAGCTCGCCGACAGCTGCGGCTGCCCCTACATTGCATCTACTATCCCCCATTGACAATTCCAATGGCTGCGTGATACGGGCCAGCATCGTGATGCCCGTCAAGTGCCAGCTAAACAATCCAAACGACATTACGGTGCGCGAATTTAGCGGCACTTTACGCATGAGCGGGATGATCTTCTCACGAATTTACTGCAACCCACGGAACAGCTTGGCAGATGTGAAGCGTTTCTTGCGCGACGACGTGCTGCGCTCGTTGATAACGCGGATCCAGGTCTACTGCGATGGTCTAACCGATCCGCACGTCACCAACGAGGCGGTCTACATAAGCGAACCTCCCCGACGTGTGTTCTTCAGCATACCCGCGGAATGTGGCAACTGTCCGCCTTGCAGCTCGGTTCAGTTCTCCGAATATTTGTTCCGTGGCGAAGCACCCACCGTGGCTGTAGCCCAAGCCAAGCAGGTACTTGACATCGAGCTCGATCCGGAGGCGATTAACTTGGACGCCGAGGCTCTACCAGATGACGGCAACTTCAACAATTTACACGGAGATACAGACGCATATGCAGACAACAGCCGCACAATGAGCAGCTCGATGCCAAAGCGAGAACTGTCCCGCAGTATGTACATGGTCGGCATTGCGGTGGCTCTGCTGGTGCTGCTCGCCTCGGTGGCACTCCACTATACAATGGCCTGATAGTAGACAGCTTGAAGCTGCTTGGCTATTGGTTGCCTATTCGACTAACCATTACACACAATATACGCAACCCAATCCGAATACATTGATTGCATACATGTGCATACACATAAATCTTGTGATGGTTTTTTTTTAAATTACGAACCAAGGTGTACTCTTATTTGTAGTAGAAAAAATGTAAAAAGGTCCCGTTATATAGTTGTATTATTAAAGCCTCAGCGGGCAGCATTTAACATTAATGTAATAAACTAAAATAACGCAAAATTTCTTTTGTGCGGACCTCATTTTTGGGATCTGTTTTCATATTGATAACCTTGTAACAAGTATTATAAAATGTGTAACGCTTAGGAGGGGATTATCGCATAAGGTATAGTATATATTCCTGATCAGCATCAATAGCCGAGTCAATATAGCTTAGTCTGTCTGTCTGTCTCAAATCGAAATACTATATTATAGGGCTGCTTTACAATATATACATATATAACCATGCTTCTACAAGGGAATTCAATCTTCGGCACGCCGAATATTTGAAGCAAAAGTCAAGAATGTGTAAAACTAGAAGTGTGGACAAACAATAGTGCCAACTGTTATTATAATTAATTCATACGAATCCGATATTAAACAGACCTTATTCTAGAAAGTATTTTCCTGTAAACAAGCATTCGCTGTGCATGTGAAATATTCGCTAGCAGAATTTCTCCTGGTTTATTATAAATTTAAAGATAAGGTTCCCAGGAAATCGCAACTGCAAATTCCCCGGGGCATGCAGCTCAGCTATGCTTTCAGGTAATAAATAATTTATATTTAGCCAGAAAAGAAAGAATTCCGCGTAAGAACTCGTATGTACATGATGAGTACTTAGGCAAGTATGTGTTGTATTTACAGGATGAGTTGCCCAGATGCGGGCCTCCAGGCGATTAAAAGTAAATAAGTATCTCACAGCCTCTGAAACATAACGACTTACCAGCTACGAACTATATCTATGATACCTTTTGCATTTGGCCCAGATCGCTGGCAACTGGATAACTGGCTAACTGCTAGTGCAATTTGCAGTTGCCATTGCAATTGACCACCGACCAGACCCAATCCACGTAGTTGGGCACCTTGGCATAGATGCCAAACTTATTGCGCTTGGCGCAGCCATCGCCGAACGAGGTAATGCCAAAAATGGTCCACGGATGATTGGCTTTGGTGGTGTCCCGACAGAGCAGCGGCCCGCCCGAGTCGCCGGCGCAGGTATCGATGCGGCCACGGCGATGGCCAGCGCAGAACATGTTCTGCAAATAAGCCCAGTTTGTATAAGTTGAAAGTATTTACTAACAGAAGCAAGCACCTTTGTTATTGTATAATCGTGGTAGACACTGCGACAGTTCTCCATGGGTATGATGGGCACGTCTGCCTGGTGCAGGACGCTGGTGCCGACCACGTCCCGGTTGCGCCGCTTGCCCCAGCCGATGACCGTGCAGTCCATGTTCTTGGGCAGCGGCTGGTAGGGGCGCGGCAGGCAGGAGTAGCCAATCCAGCTGGTGGCATTGACCGGCTTGGGCAGCCTTCAATAGAATGCAAAACATTTATATACGTAAAGTATGCCAAAGATCAAGTTGTGCTCACCGCAGCAGCGCGACGTCGCTGTCCACGGTGCGCTTATCGAAGTTGGGATGCTTGTAGCTCTTGAGCACGCGCAGCTGCACCTCGGTGCCGTCCTCATAGTCCAGATTGTGCTCCCCGAAGCGCACGTACAGAACCTTGCGCACACAGTGAGCGGCGGTCAGGACCCAGAGCGGAGCGATTAATGTGCCACCGCAAAAGGCCTCCTTGAACCGATTGAAGATGGCCACCTGCCAGGGCCACTCGCCCTTGCGGGCCGCCTTGCCGCCAATAATCTTCAGCATGTTGTACATGCTCCGGTGTCCACTGCGCGGCAGCCCACAGTGCAGCTTCAGCGGCGAGTACTCGGGTCCCCGATAGCCCTTGCCGCTCATGATGACATTGACATCGTTTCTGCTCAAGGCTCCAGCCGCAGCTTCCGGCTCCGTGTGCATGCGTCGCATGGCCGTCACCGGACCAGGTCTGGACTCATAGGCGGGCACCTTCTGCACCTGGGTCTGTAGCCACTGCTGGCAGAAGCTGCCCTCGGTGTAACAGTAGGCGATCTCGCGCAGCACCTCGCGTCCGCACTGCTCGCTGATGCGGCACTTTCTGAGGAGAGAAGAGCTTGAAGAGCGTGAGAAGTTTAAAGCGAATGGCAGCCACTTACTTGTAGCGCCGTGTGGTGCACTTCGGCGAGCACTTGGTCCAGCGGCTCCACTTGGAGTAGAGGCGTCGATGGCGAGGCAGCAGCCCGTCTGGTGTATTCCGCTCCTTGGCGGGCGGCAAGAAAGTCATGTTGCGCACATCCGTATACTCTTCCGAGTCGGTGTACTGGCTATCAGGCTCGATATCGAAGTCCTCGTACTGAAAGACATCTCCGTCCAGGCCGGAATTATCGACGCTGCCCAAGGAACGCTGCTTAAAGGATTTGCGCTCGAAGTAATCCTCAAAATCGTCATCAAGGTAATCGAATTTGGGCTTTTCCCTAATTCTGTGCCCGGAGCTGTGCCCGAAGCTGTGCCTTGAGCCGTGCTCCGCGCTGTGCCTTGAGCCTTGCCTGGAGCTGTGCCTTGGTTTCTGCCTGCGTCGGTATCGTTTCAGCACAAAAAAGTCGCCTTGATCGCCATGGAAGGGGGCCTCATCTTCTTCTGCTTCCTCTTCATCATCATCGTGCTCTACACTAGATTCAATTGGGGGCCATTGTGGCGGCCTTCTGTGCACTACCTCAACAGAGTCCACGTCCGGATGAGGATGTGGTTCGGTTGGATGCGGCTGAAAGGGTGGCCCACTCGCTGCAGCTGCCGCCGCGTTTATAACGATCGCTGGCAAATGGGGATTATGGTGTGGCAAGTTGGCTGGCGGCAAACTGCTCGTGGTATGCCACTTGACTGCCGGATGACAACTGCATGACAGCATAAATATGAGTAATATTTTTAAATTTTCCCTTTAATCAGCCACAATTTGGCACTCACTGCGAGCACTTGCGCTGCTCCACGTGTTTGGTGTGTCCACATTTTCGCTTGGCCTTGCAGACGCGCTCCCGTCGCCGAATGCAGTCCTCATCACAGGTCGTCCACTGTGTCCAGCGGCTGAAGGGATGCTGATGATTAATCGAGCGCCGCCGGCCGGTCCATCTCTGGTGAGCGTGTGGCATGCGCAGCCGATGCACACGTTGCCCATGGTGCCAATGGGAGCCATAGTAGCTTGGATGGCCCAGGGCGTCGCCAAGCTCGGCGCGTAGGTGACGCTTGGCTTCCTGCACGTGTCCACTCTGACAAGAAGAAAAAGGCGTTCAAAAGACAAATTAGCGAAAGCCTGGTAAACACAGGCCAATAAATATGTCTGTCCACTTGGCAATTGGCAGCCCAAATCAAACATTAGAAACGGTCGCCAACATTTCCAAGTCTGCCCAGGCGCAGAGACGCGCCAACGCAGGCCAATCGCAGCGGATAAGTCAGACCGTAGCCATATATACTTGTGTATATGCATATATGCTTGTGGTGCAGGGGCTGCGTTTCATTTGAGGTGTCATTGCTCTCGTCTGCCTCCGCCCAGACTGATGCAGTTATGCTTCCAGTCGATGTCGAAGACTTGGCTGCTTCATCGCTAAAAATAACATAAATTTCGCTTTGCCGACGCCGGCATATCCCTTCTTCCTGTCTCGTTCCTATCCAAAATAGGTTTCAGCGTCTTCCCACCACAACCAGCGACGCCTCCACCAAGACCAAGGCGATTGGCTCAGCAGCTCCTTCTGCCGTAAATCGCCAATGGAACCAGCTGTTGCGTGTTTATTGTTAGCCGTTATATATTATGGCACGGAACTTGGACAATTCAGAGAACTCTAGCAACAATCATGCTCCAAGTAGTTCCATAGAAAAGGAATGGAAAATCTGAACTGTTCATATCCAATTGGAAATATCGAGACGAAACAAGGTTGGAACCAAAATACAAGAATATACAAAAAAGCGCTTCTCGAAAATCGAGGCATTGAGTTGAACCGCGACCCACAGCGCTGACCTTTTCCAGGTGTGTTTTAGTCATGGTTAAAGCATGTTCTCCCAGGTTCCGCCAGCGTCATAAGTCACGGCGGAGTTGCCCAATCTGGCCAATTTTGGGAATTCGAGAGTGCAATCATGCGGAAATACGAGCTGCACGAAAATGAAACAAAGGCATTTTTACCGTTTCGTTGCCGGGGTCATATCATCCGCTACGGAAAAGGTCACAATGCCTGCTGACTTAATTTGGATATAGATAATTGTTGTTGTCAGCTTAAACAAATTTGTTAATTATGCACAGTCACAGCCAATCGTCAAATTGTCGAGCCAATTGTTGCCGATTGACATCATGAGCTTGTGTCAAGTGGGCGAGGCAAAGCATTTATAATTCGCACGCTCGAGCAATTGTTGAACTCACCTGACTCGGGGCCAGCAGCTGTAAAAGTGCCAGCCATTTGAAAAAGCTGCAAATCAGACGCATTCTATATCAGGGATATTTCCGTAGACGATGAGAGTTCGAGATTCCAGGATTCCAAGTCGAAAAGAACTCTGTGGATATTTAAGAAAAGAACCATTAATCGATGATATAAAAGAAATATTCAAAATTTCTGATCCGATTGCGATGATCTTAGCTCGAATCGCAGGCTTTAATTAAATTTTTTTTTATTAATTTGATTAGCTTTGAAGATTGTGAGATACCTTTGACAACAAAGATGAACATCATAATAATATGAAAAAATAATGATAATATATAAAATTAACTTTATGGATGGCCTAAGCCGGATTACACAATATTCGCAATGAGATATTTTGAAAAATGTATTTGCGGATCTGGCGCAGTCACATATGAAATTCGCCAATTAATTTAGAGGCAATTAACTTGTTTAATTTAGCACAACTAATCGACTCGTTTGCGTCAAAGTACATCAGAAGTACATTCATTGCGGGCCATATCTTTGCTCTACGCACAATTCAACAAAAAATCCGAAACTGTTTTTTTGATTTTATGCCTATTATTTTAGTATTTTTCTTGCTCTGACTGACGCAGTTGCGACCAGGGCTATCTTTGGCAACTACAAAGCAAATATTTGAACTTGTAAGAGACCTTAAAGCACGGCGATCAAAAGCGTGGGCAGAACGCACAAATACACAAAAAAACAACAAAAAAAAAAACAGAATAAAAGTGAAATTAATTAGCTACATGCCCATGTACAATGTAATTACAAACAGAAGACGAGCAAAATTAAAAACATAAATACAAATTATTTTTTTGAAATTCAGTTCATCTGTGCGGCGGGCGGCGGCTGCCTTTGACGAGTCATGCGGCGTCCAGGGACCGGGACCGAGACCGGACCTGGGCACAAAGTTCGCCATTAAAATCAACTTTGAGTTACACTGTGGAATTTAAAGTGGCAACAGAAGCACTCGGTAAATGCCAAAAAACAATGTATATTTGTTTTTTTTTTATTTTTTTTTTTATAAAAGCAAGTACAATCGATCTTACGTCAATACCGAATGCTGAATGCCGGACCAAATTCAGTTGCCCATACTCAATCACACGCATGCACATGCAATCGTCTACTCGATCTTACAGACTCTCGCACAAATATGGTCACGGGTCGCTTTGGCCCTTTATGGACGCACGTGTATCTAAATGGCACTAGGGACAGACAAGCTGGCTGGCTGGCTGGCTGGCTAAAACAATCGTGGGTTGGCCGACTGGCTGGCTGGCTGGCTGCTTCACAGTTCTGGTTTTTCCCATTCCCTGCCGATCGTACTATAATGACCATAAAATCCATGAACGACCCATTCATATGTCAATACTTGGGCGCTAATGCAATCCATAGATAGATGGCGGCTAAATCGGCATAGTATATTTCAGTTTCAGTTGAACAATAGAAAAATGTGAGCGTGTTGTATACGAAATTCCATAAATTGGGCGTTAAGCTACTTTATCATTTATCACATTCTCCAAATGTATCTCATAGATATATTTCCTGTTTTCTGCGCTTTGTGAACTTGATGTATCAAATTTGAACTTCACAAATAATGCAATTCTAAAGATACATGCGTGATTGTTTCAAGGATTTTGAGTTTATTTAATTTAAAATCCATTCGAATGCAAGACCCTCTATCATTCCGTAATATCTATATATGCTCTATATTCATGGAAATTGCATAGAAATGAGATATTTATTTACACTCTCTCTCTATCCCACTCTTTCTCTCTCTATCTATCTATATATCTATCTAGATATCTACCTAAATATCAATCTATCAATCCATCTATCTATCGATCTATCTATCTCTTATTCATTTCTCACTATCTCTCTCGCTCTTACCCTCTCTCTCAGCCATTCTCTCTCTCTCTCTCTCTCTCTCTCTCTCTCTATTCCTCTATCTATCTCTCTCTGTCCATCTCATTCTTCAAATTGACCTCTCACTTATTCATTTTATTATTAGACTTTGAAAAAAACGCCTTTCTATGCGATTTTCATTTATGCAAATAATGCCCAAAAGTCTCGATGCCTTACACTTTTATTTCCTAATTAAATTTTCAAATATGTGCATAAATTTTCTACTTGCCATGGGGTGAAAATGTTTGCAAAATGAATGGGCAATAAATATCAGAACATACTTTACGGGTTACCCTCTGCCGGAGCCCAGAACGTGCTTATCTGTCAGTCCGCCGATCTCATATGCAACGCCAACCTAATAATTTAAGGTTGAGTAACTGCCGTGCTCTGGATTGTGCTGTGAGGAATATTTAGCATTATCAGAAAACAAACCACTAGAAACTATTCTTAAACACCTGACGACATGCTCGCTTATGTATGTATGTGTCTATATGCATATGTGTGTGTGTGTGTACACATACATATATGTGTGCACATAAAAAACGGCGCTTCTTTATTTAGAACGCAGCGCGACCGCAAATCACCCACAGCAGCAGCCGCAGCAGCAGCAGCAGCCACGGCAACAGCAGCAGCAGCAGCGGCCGTCGTCGTGGCGTCGTGTAAACAAACCGTTCGTCATATCCAAAGGCAGCCCCCACCTGCTAATACCCCACCCAGACTAAGTGGGATTAAAATGTTAGGTTTTTGCGCGATTAAACATGATAAACATATGCCAAAATTCCTTGACATGTCATCATCAGGCTTTGAAGACAACATTCCAGACAGGTTGAGAACAGTTGAATTGGCTTTTGCTTAAGTCTCTCTAAGGTGTAGGGTAGCTAGGGCTATGTTATATGTTGGGGTAATACTCGTAAAAGTCGTTTGACTATTTGCTTAAACATCTTCAATAGTTAAGTTTAGATTATGATTATTGTTATGCTAAAGTGTATACATATATAAAGATAGGTAATCTTGGCATTAAAGCGATTAAAGCGCATCTGTTAGTCGAATACGCCCGACTAGAGCACTATTACTTGAATGGGCACTCATGAATGAAAAATTTACGCAAAAACAAAAACGAAACGAAAATGAAAAACAACAACAACAAAAAACAGTAGCAACGCGTTAGTTAAACGCTCGATAGTCATCCGCCGATTGGCCGCAGCACCTGCCACCGCCAGAGGCAGCCGCAGCAGCAGCCGCAAAGTCTGGCACGGCCGGCCAGTCGACGTTTGGCGGGGGCGCACAGCGGGGCGCCAGTTCAACGAAATGCAATTTTAATGACGCTTACGAAAAATCGAAAAAATCAAAAAGAAAAAAAACTGAATCGCCGCTACTGAGTGGCATGTGGGGGGCTTTTTTGTTGTTTATGTCTCGAGTGGGCAGCGGCAGTGCTCGTGGGCAGTTCACGTCTTACTAAACGTGTAAACACACACACACACGAGCACACACACACACACATGTGCACATGCTACTTATGTGCAGATGGGGCAGCCGCCGCAACGGAAGTCGAAAAGTTGTCAAGTTGCGCGTCTGGGCTTCGGTTTTATTTATTTATTAGGCTTGTGTTTGTGGAAATAAAATCAATTTCGGCTTCGATTTACTGTTCTTGAAAAATGCACTAGACACTGGCGACAATTTATATGCACTCACACAGACACATATGTGTGTGTGTGTTTGTGTGTGTGTGTATATGTGACGGATGTTGTTGGCCATAAATCATGATTCGGCGGAGATGCGCACGCCACCCCCCTAAAAGCCACCCAGGCGCCATATTTATAACACATGCGCTTAATGCATTTCATATAAATGCATGCATGTATGTGTGCATGCATGTGTGTGAGTGTGTGTGTGTGTGTATTTGCATATTGTTTTCATGAATGAAACTGTTGTTGCATTCATAACTGTCGCATTGGCGCGCCACTCAGCTGCACTGCGAACACATGCACACATGCACATACATACATACATACATGCTTATATACATATACATATGTACATTTATGTATATATGTATATGTATATCCGTCAACTCAATGAAATGGAATGACGACATCTACTTAAGGCCGCATCATTATAATCATTTTTGTTGCTGCTTTTATTTTATCGCCATTCAATTGAACAATTTCGAGTGCGCGAATGTTTAATGATTTATTATTGTTGTTGTTATTTGCATGTTAGCCAAATGAAAGGCACCTATCAATTAGAGGCTAAGGCTGCCGGTTACCTGGCAAATGCCTGCATACAGGGTGCGCCAGAAGCTTGCAAAGTTTTCTTCCTTCCTTTTTTTATTTTGTTTTTTTGTTAACGACTTATTTTTTGCTAGTTTTGGCTCACGTTTTTGAATATGTTTTTCTTTTCGAAAATTAGTATATTTATTTTTACATTGGGTACGGTTTTCATATATGTATGTATATGGAGACGGAGACCGAGAAACTCGCAGCTTCAGGCTCGCGCTGCCGACGACAAGCACCCAAAAATAAACAACCGCACAACCGATCGCGGCGCTGTCTTCTCGAGAACTGAACGCCAACGTCGAGCGCTCGATGCTGCCAGCGACTATTTTCCTCACAAACACACACAAACTAACACACACAGACACACACGAATACACATGCATTTAGCGCTCGCACAGTGGGCCGCAGTCGCAGACATTTGGGAATACTGCGCAAAAAGTGTGAAAACCCGCGAGCGTGAAATGGCTTTGAGCGCGACCTGGTTCCGCGGCCAGTCCCTAAATATGGCCATGGTCGTAAAGCAGCCTCTGCTAAGCCTAGCCAATTAAAAAGATGAGCATATCAATTTAATATTAGATATAAGCATTATAATCGAATGATATAACTAGAAATTTTGGAACTATACTTGAGCTGCCGACATTGCTGAGAAATCAATGGCAGAGGCAAGGAGTTGGTGGGACATCAGCTAATGATAGCAGTGCCAGGTGGCCACGCGCTCATTGAGTGGTGCATCCCGGAGGAGACGCATTTGCTCCATGCCCGATTCGGTGACATTGGCATCGCCGCCGACCAGCACGGTGCCCAGCACAAGTTTCTTGCCCATTTTCAGCTTGGTCGCCAGCGTAATGCGAATCACAATGTTCTCCAGCTGCTCCCGACTGCGCAACGGTACACATATGGTGGCCTCATCGCCGCCAGCGCCATCCCATTTGGTGGAGAGCGATGGATAGAAAATGGGCGACTTCCAGGCATCCACATAGATGCCATGCTCGAAGACGGTTGTCTTAACGTAGACGCCCGCGGTGGCCGTCGCCTCCAGCTCATCCTTGACCTTGTTGGAGCAGCGCATGCGCGCCGTGGTGACGCGGAGCACGAGGGTGCCGCCCAAGACATTGGTCACATTGCTGATGCCCATTTTGCGCTTCACCTCGGCTGTCATGCGCTGCCAGTTGTTCGCTCCGGCGACGCCAGCTGGCTCGTCCTTTGGCTGGGGCTGCTCCGGCTCTCCAGGTGGTTCGCTCTCGCTCAGATCGCGCACCTCCAGCGCCAGCTCGACGACACCTTTGGGCGCATTGGTGAGCTGTAAAACAAAAGGGTCAAGGGTCAACCTGTTTATTCAAGCTCCGCTTTGCCTGCAGTCTGTTTATTTGTCTTGTGTTACGCAGTCTCCTAGCTTGTCGCAATTTACTTTTGGCCAACTTTCTCTAGTTCCAAATTAAATGCACATCTTAATTTCATTTTCAAGTTATGAACTTGCACTCAACGCCCAACACTCGGCTCATAACATTTGGTTAAGTCACTTTTGGCCAAATGTGGCCCGTCAAGTTGTCGTCAGTTTTGTCTGTTTTGATAGCTTACATTGTTACTGTTGTTGCCGTTGTTGTTGTTGTTGTTGTTGCTGGGCGTCGTCTTGAGCACCGTGGTGGTTATATCTTTAATGGGCAGCCAGAGCTCCTCAGTCGCATAGCAGCCGGTGCGAGCGTTGCGCTTGAAAAGCTTCGGCTCCAGGTAGCAGGTGACGGAGCCTGAGGAAGAGTCAAAACCCTAAAATTAGCAGCCTTACGACATTCTTAGCATAACTATATGGAACGGGGATTGCTGGCATTTCAATCAGGCTATTTTTCAAAACTTAACTCAACTTAACTCCAATCCTAAAACAACTGATAAATGCTTACAAAATTTTTATGTGATCCCATAAAGTATTTATATATAATCTTGATCAGTATCAACAGCCGGGTCGATATAGCCATATCCATTTGTCTATTTATATGCTAACTCCTTCTATCTTACTCTATCTACTTACTTTTAATAACGGATCACTATATCATATAGCTCTATTGAAAGAATCAATCGAATAAGGTTTTCGTTTGGAAAACTTTTCTATTTTTCAAAATATATTGATAAAACTCTGCATTAACTTTTATCCTATTCCTATTCCCTTAACTTGTACAAAATCTGACTCTTATTGTATCTATATATAATGTGCTGTATATTATGTTCTTCAATATTTACCTATATTTCTCCGGGATTCACTTATGGTCAATGGTGGCATGGCATCCCTTGGATTCTCCGTCGTCTTTTTATTCTTCACGCTCTTTTGTGGTGACCCATTTTCAGTCTGGGTTTCGCCCGCGGAGAGCCGCTGCACAAAACTCGAGCTCTTATCTTTCAGGGAGCGATAGGTCTTGTTGAATCGATTGAAACTCTGTAAGGCATTATTTGCTTAACCTACATAGATATATATTAGACAAAACTGTAAACTTACTGCAGCAGGCAGCTCGAGTAGCGCATAAACGGTAAAGACCACAAATTGGCCGGCAAAAAGTTCGTCGGGCGCGGAAAAGTCGCCGGCTGGGCGGCTCTGCACCTGACGTCTGGAGGAAAAGGCGGAGCCGTGCTTTAAGGATGGTCTATTTGAAGAAGAAGAAGAAGAATGTCATGGAAATTAGATTAGCTAAAGATATACCTACTTAATATCGGGCACCAAGGGAAACTTGAAATTTTCATTAAACTTGGGCCAGGTGTTGGTCTGAATGCTGCTGTCCAAGCGTTTTGTTCCCGGAAACAGTTTGACCTGTTCGAAAAATATAAAATAAAATATATATTAAAGTATTTATGCAAAAAGAGAGAGAAAGATACTCTCCAATTGAGAGTTAAAGCATTTAAAGATCTTTCAATTACCTTTATCAGGTATCCCTGTACGATCTTGAAGCCGAACAGGGAGGGCAGATGCCGCGCCGCAATGAGATGCACATTCAGCTCGGGCACTGGAGATGAGCCATTGGCAGCGGTAAAGCTTTGTTGATTGTCCTCCTTTTGGTCGTGCATCTCGATGGTGATCTGGAAGCCAATCTCCGGCTCAAGGGTGACCGAATGGCTAGCGGAGTCTTTGGCATGTTGGCCCGGCAGCCAGGTCCGCAGCTTATTCATGTTGATCCACTTAGAGACGCTGCTCCACTGCTCCTATGCAACGCTCCGCGCTGTGGTTTTTCCATACGAATGTGCGAATGAGAGAAAGGTGATAATTTATATAAATGATTTCAGAGTTCTTATCTGGGACTCGTACTCCGGTATTGATAAAACGCCGCCACTTCGACGGCTCATGCTCAATTAGCCCTCTCTCTCTCTCTCTCACTCCCTCTCAATTGAAACTGAAGTACACACACACACACACACACACACACATATGCATACATATGTACATAGTTCCAGTGCGCTTTCCACTTAGCGCAAGCCAGTTAAAAGCTGCGTTTGGTTAAGCTCACTTACAAACAGCTGTTCGGCGCAAAGCTTTCGCCTCGCTCCAAATGCTCGCAGTCCGATTGCGCTCTCTTGGAGTACGCTGAGAACAGCCGCTAGTGGCGTGTTAGTGCCCAGTAGCGAATTCGCTGCGCACTTGCAGTTAGCAGGTTGCTTTGCTTACATACGTACAGACATATACATATATCACACATGCATTCATATAATTTATTGACAAACGAGTATAAGATGCATGCATATGAATATAATCTTTAAAATCTGAGCTGTTTGTCAGTGGCTGCTTTTGGCCAAAAAGTCTTTGACCCCATAAAATAAGTACAGGCACAGCTGATGACTAACAAGCCAAATATTGCGCATACTCCCCGTATGCCGGCTGAGCGCAGCGCGCGTGGGCCTTGTCGCACTTACACTTTATCAATACGAATACTAATGCAAACACAATGTAGCCGCGTGAAAGTCATGAACTGTGTCAAAGAGTTCTTCAGAGTTCCAAGAAGACCTCGTTTTGTTTCTAAAGTCTGTCTATGTTCTACAATTGCTCAATGCCCGGCAGCTGATGTCGACATGCCTAAGCCCGGGCCGCAAACCGAAACATTTAGCACGGTCACAAAGCGCAACAATTAACAACTCGAGATGAGACTGCGCCACGATCAACGATCAACGATCCACGATCAGCGTTCCACTATTAACGCTCCACGCTCGACGCTCGCGTTCTCCAGCTGATCCAACGCTCAACTGAAATGTAAACTTGGAAATTATTTCGTATGCGGTCATAATAATAAAGAGTACACAATCATAATGCCGACACATATTCTCGCGAGCCTGTACACACAGAAGAAGTACATTCACATACACGCACACATGTTCATAAACAAGCACACACACACACACACTCATATGAACTTTACGCTTTCATACCTCGAGCTTTGATTGTCGTCGCTTTCTTGCTCAAAAATGCAATAAGATTCTCTCAGCGACGTCGACGTCGACTTCGACGTTGTTGTCGTCGTCTTTGTCTGTGTCACCGTTATCGCGTTGCAACAACAATTATGGGCACAATAAAAGTTCTCGGCGCTTGTGATAATGCGACTCTTCAATACGCTACTATCAGTGTTATGAATACTGGATTGGAAGATTTTCTAAACTTCTTAACCCAACCTCGAAAGCTTTAGCTAAACGGCATAAATTCTAATTAGAATTAATGAGAATTGTTATTGGAATTCACAATTTACTCCCTTTAAAATATACTAAAAATCCCCAAACCTTATGCTTAACTTTTCCAGATCTCAAGTCAAAACTGTACTCAAACTGTACCGATTTTTATTATTTTTGCCGTTAATAATTATGTTTGAGAACACAATTTAAAAGAAATAAATTGAATTTAAATCATTCAAAATTAAATTTTTATTTAAAACTAATAAAAAAATTATTTTCAAAATTAAGAGATTTTGTATATAGTGCTATGTAACAATTTTGAGGACAAGTGAAGTATAAAAAAGTTCTGAAAAATTATATTCATACATTTTTCTGTCCAAAAACCCTGTTAATATTGAAGACTCATAGCTCTGGCAAAACTAAACCAATTTCTTTGATTGATCACTTTTTGATCATAATTTGTATTCGTAATAATGCATCTTAAATTTACACACTATTGAATAAACATTTCTTTGAATTTTATTTGGACTTCAAAACTCCAATAAATTTGATAAAAATTGAAGCAAATTTCAAGTTTAATGAAATTTCGTTCACGATTTCTGCTGTATATATGTTTAATCTAAATGGTTTTCATTTATTTATCAATGCTATTAGCGCTCCGAATATGTATAGAAAATGTTTTTATTTGCATTTGTCAATAAAATGTTCTTGGAATACAAACGTGGGTACATACCTCTGTTAGCAAAGACTGGAATCTGAAAGAAACTCGAG